ATTGTGTATGATTCTTGAAGTTCATAAAGAGGAGAAGATTTTGAGGTTTAAGATGAGATAAATGAATATAAATTGGTTTAAGTATGTGTATTTGAGTTAATAATATGAAATGGAATGAAACATGAAGTATGGAAGCTGAAAATAATGAATTTTCGTATTTGAACAGTGATTCTGGGCAAAAAGTTACAGATTTCAATAGGGGTATCGATACCCTAGGGGAAGGTACCGATACCCCCTAAAGGAAAAATGAAATTTTGGTTCATTAAACTAGCTTAAGTTATTAACATCAAGTTATAAGGTTTATGCTTCTAATAATCGTCTCGAAAATTATGTTTATGTAGATATAAGCCTAAACAAGTTCCAGAACAATCAAATAATTAGGATCGAATCAAACAAGGCTAAGGTGAGTGCAATTTAATTGTACTTATGATATTGAACAAACATTGGCTTGCGATGAGCCAATGACGGAGTTACTATGGTAAGAAGTGACTCCTAAAATGTTAATTGATTTGTGATTCTTATGTGACATGACCTACATGATTACATGTTATATGGATCATTATATATGTTTGACATGAGATAAGTGATATGAGATTAAGTGAATGAACATAGATGATATATATATGATGATATAAGAATAATACATGAATCAAATGATATGAGTTATATGAGAAACATATGTGAACAAGATATGATATATGTTTATATGAAACTGTGCAAAGTGATACGAGCTATGTGACATACGAATATGAAATCATATGAAAAGTGACATGAATTACATGAAAGTAAACTGCGTGAATACATGCACTTGTGATACATATGTATGATATGAGATATACGGTTACACATACATGTGGTATGTGACAGAAGAGAAAAAATAAGTGATATGAAATGTATAAATGATAATGCCCATGTTATATGATATGAGAGCTACTGGTATAGTTGACATGCCAAGAGTCGAGGGTTACCTATGTCTTTTGGGACATATAGACAATTATAGTTTACCTATGTTCTTCAGAACATATGGACAGTTACATAGGTCATTCGGGACAAATTTCATATGCCACTCAGTGGGACTTATACGAGCTGTTGTGACACCAATAGTGCACAACCTCAATGTACTCGAATACCTTGAGTTCTCAATAATGTACATGGGCCTATAAAAGATGCCAAAAGTATTTATAAGATTTATATGTGATACTGTGTATTCCTAAGTGAAATGTATTTGTTATATGAGATTGGAAATCATTTATGCGTTAGTGTGATTTAGAGTTTATATTATATGCTGATATGGTATAAAAAGAAATTAATTATGATAAAATGAGAAATGATAAACATGTTAATGATGTTATGTTACATGATATGTGCATGTATGTATGTGTTACAGAGAATAATATATGTTTTGGTATGATAAGGTAGTATCAAATGTTCATGCATTGTAGAAGTTACAATTAGCATATAATTATGTTTTATATGCCTCACTAAGTCATCGACTTAGCGTGTGATTGTTTCACACGTAGGTTTGGAAAGCGAAAAAGAGAAGTAAAGGAACAAGACAGGTCAATTCCCCTTACCGAAGATCATATCAGAAATGTAGTTGAATTATATGTATTTTGTTACATAGAATTTAGTTGGCATGTAATATAAAAGATTTGAATCCGATATGCTCTGATCGAGTTTTGTAATGTTTTAAACGTATTTATGTAAATGGTAAATGTATAGTTTATGGAAGTTTAAGTATTTTGTGAGATTTATATGTTTTGCCGGAAGTTACTGTAGTAGTATTGTAGCAGGGGTATTGATACCCCTGAAGCAATCTGGAAAATTTTTAACATTCGGTACTGTTCACGTTACTGTTCATATCGTATAGTATTGTTCATAAATACGTTTTTGACTTGAATTTTTATAATGAAATATAATTCAACAATATATGATCGTATTTTCTTAAAATAAGCTCAAATGTTTTGATATTTTGTAAGAATATCATTTTTTTAAAAATTAATGTGACATCTCGGACTCGTATCCGGATCGGGTACGGGTTGGGCTGTTAAATAATTTCAGTTCAATTCGGTTTTTTGGAGTTTCAGGTCAAATTTTGATCATCTTGTTCGGGTCTTTCGAATCAAGGTTCGAATAATCAATTTCGAATCAAATTTGCTAAGCCTAATGGAAACCTAACAAATGCTTCTTACAAACCATTAGTGAGATATCAATTTATAGACTCGTTTATTCGGTATTTGGCCTAACTTACTTTAAAATATAATTAATTAAATGTTCATTTGGTGGGATTTAAATTTTCTATGCTTAGAACTTAGGCTTAAAGTTGGAGCTGGCAAATTTGACCCGTAAATAATTACTCAAATCGATTTATTGGATCCGAGATATGATATAGACTCAAATAGGATTATCCAAAATTGATCAGAAATTTAAAATAATTCAAATCGAACTGAAATCGACCTGAATTTTAATTGGACCAAAAGTAATTCAAGCTGAAATTAACCGAACCGAAAACAACACGAACCGAAACTCCGAACTAAAAGCAACCTGAATCGAAAGTAACTAAATTTAATTTACCCGATTTGAACTGAAATTCGACCCAATTTTAACTCGATAATTGAATCTAAATTATGGATAATTTATTATTTTTTATTATTATCTAATTTTAGAATCAGTAAATAGTAAAATGATATGTGTTTATTCTCATTTCCATATACTACTAGTTAACCATCATTTCTAGTAATAGTTTAATAGTTTAATATAATTTTTTAAATAAAATATAATGTTTCCTCGTTTAAAAGATCATCTCCGTGTTTGATGAAATAACTTCTAGCTCTGAATTTGAACTGTTACAATATATATTCATATAAAATTCTTGATTTAAAGGTTTATTGATTCAATTGATTACAACTAAAACTTCGATGTGACAATATATATACTCATATAAAATTCTTAAATTATAAGTAATAAATAAAATCATCAAATGTTATGACGACAAAGAGCGACAACGATTGACCTAAAAATCTAAATGTAACTTGAAAATCTAGAGGTTAAACCAAAAATATAAAGGCTAACTCGAATCGAAACCGATCTGAATTGACCCGAAAATCTAATGGTTAAGTCGAATCGAAGCTAACTGATCCGATACAAAGTCAACCGATCCAATATTAATCCGACCCAAAAATCAATTGATCTAATTTTGACTTGACCATATACCCGACCTTAATTGAATTTTCATAGACCCGAACTAAACCTAAACCAAATCCGATCTAAACCGAACTGGATCTAAATCTAAGTAATATAGATGCGAAATGTCCCGAACCGATATGAATGACTCGATTGCCACCTCTACTTAAAGTAAAAATAAGTAATTAAACTATGTATTCTTTTATTTAAGTACCTAAACTATTTATTGGTTAAATTAAGCTTTTAAATTATTATTTAATCATGTTAGGTCATATCATTTTTTCAGTTAGAAAAGCATTTTTCGACTGATAGGATGTTGACACGTCATATAAAACTAGGTTTGTTTTGACTTTAGGCGCTTAAAACAAAAAAAATCATAGTTTAAGGGACTTATTTTGATAAAAAAAAATAGTTTAAGTACTTAAAAAATAACATAGTTGAAGTGTTTTTTTTATTTAGTTTAAGCCTAAAATTTAACTTCACACCAAACAGATGATGTCCCTAATCCCTCATTACTTCCTATTAATAATATCTTTATCCAGTCATGCATTTAATACATTATTACAATAAATAATGAATTAATTATCATAAAACACTTGGTAGCCAATCCATTAATATAAATACCATTTAAGCTAAAATATATTTGTAAAAAAGATAAAATACATTTATTTAATGGGAAAATTATATCATCCATCACTCAATTATCTCCACACTCCTATTTTGATCACTTAAGTTTAAAATTTTTAATCTAATCACTCAAGTTTTTAATTGATCTTGTTTAGTCATTCCGTCATTAAATAATTAGCAATATTATAATATGATAACCAATACCAAAAATCCAAAATGATGTAATTATAGATCCTATAGGAAATTAAATTTAGACCACAACGACGTTATTTTGGTCTAAATAAATCTTTTCCTTCTTCTTTCATTTATTTTATACATTTTTCTTTCTTTCTTCTTCCTCTTTTTTTTTCATTTTTTATAACTTGAATGAACTTAGATTTCGATCATCAAGTTAACCGTTGTTCTGATCACCACTGGTCGTTGTTGTCCAAGGCCAAAATCTCTCAAAATTTCCCACTGAATACATTCTACCGTTTTGAATGCAAATCTGATTTACTAAAAACCATCCAAAATTCCATAAATTTAAGTAGACTTCAATTCTATTCTTTGCTCTCTGACCGGCAAAAGTAACCACCACTCAAAGGACAAATGTTGGACAAGGTAATCATTCGGCAGTGGCTATCATTGAGGATGGGCTTAGAAAAGTAAGGAGCAACATCATGCATGGGAAAGGAAAGCAGATAGAAATAGCCAAACCGAGACCTGTTATAAATCGGAAAGATCTCAACCAAAAAAAACCCGAAGGAAAGGGGTGGCTCAACCCGAGAGGCATTATCGGAATGGGCGAAAACAGTGGAACAAAGGGCAGGCATTGCAAGTTTGGATAAGGAACCCGGAGAATCTTCCCAGACAAAACAGTGTCATGAACAACATCAACATAGACACCGAACAAGCCAGCATTACGGTGATGACCCCAGTAAACATAAACGAGGGTGAGCAAACAGAATTGGTAGAGATGTAGGTCCAAAAAACAAAATCCATCCCGTTGAAGCAACAAGGAAGTCACGTAAACAACTCACAGGTACAATGATTAATTTCTTCTTTTGGAACTGTCAAGGGGCAGCCAGCCCATCTTTTTTTAAGACACTTTAAGAAGTTATGTCGACAACATAATCCCAAGGTAGCCACTATAAAGTGGCGATAAGGCTGATAGAGTATTATCAAGATTAGGATACCCGAATTCTTTCCACATGGAAGCTAATGGATTTATCGGAGGAATCTGGATCTTATGGAAAGATACAGTGCAAATTGAAATTATGAATGTGTTTCCACAATACGTGCATGGACGGGCACAAGAGGAGGGGAGCACTAAATGGCTATACTTCACAGTTGTATATGGCAGCCCACAGGTGACAAAAAGGAAAGAGTTATGGGATCGACTAGCAGCCCTAAATCCGGGGAATATGGAAGCATGGATGTTGGACGGAGATTTCAACGCCACATTGCGATTGGAAGAGAAACAAGGAGCAAATCGAGGAAACGGTACTAGCAAAGGCTTCCAAGACTTTATCTTCAACTCCGAACTAATGGTGGTCGAATTTAGAGGATCGGAATCTACATGGAAACGCGAAAATCTTTGGAAAATACTAGATCGGTTCCTCTTTAATGAAAAATGGGCTGCTCTTTATCCCATGTCCATCGTTACACACCTAGACCGTGTAGGCTCGGATCATTGCCCATTGCTCTTCCACTCTCCAAAAATAACAGGTCGTACCTCAGAAAGACCATTCCGCTTCATTGCCGCATGGAAAAACACCCAGAATTTCCAAGCTAGTACGCGAGTCATGGAATAGAGAGAACGATGTCCTAACGAACATTGCAGTTTTCAAAACCAAAGTCAACAGCTGGAACAGTTCAGTCTTCGGCTATATCGGAAAACGAAGAAGCAATTGCTTGCAAGAAAATATACTCGGAGAGACTTGTACAATTAGACGCGGAGCTAAGAACACAATCAGACGAAGTTCTCGAACAAGAAAAAAGCCTATGGATACAGAAGTCAAGACAACAATGGATACGCCATGGGGATAAAACACGCGCTTCTTCCATGCTAACACCATGCACCGAAGGAGGACGAACTACACCCCAAAACTCAAGCTCCAAGACGGTAAATGGTGCTCGGACCAAGACCAACTACGAATTATGGCAGTAGACTTCTACAAATATCTATTTTCAAGCTCCAAGGAACATGTCAACAGTACGACATTCGAGGCCAATTCCCTTTAAACCAAGCGAATTTCCAGGAGGAAATAACTCACCCTATCACAGATGAAGAGATCAAACAAGTTGTTTTTGATATGGAACCGTTAAAAGCACCGGGAGCAGTCGGATTCCACGCACTTTTCTACCAACGTAACTGGGCGGTGGTAGGTAACAACATCTGTAGATTTGTAAGGGATATTTTTGCATGGAAACCATTTGAGGAAGCATTAAATCGAACGCTCATTGTGCTCATACCAAAAGTCAAAGGATCAGATATGATCACACAATTCAGGCCAATCAGCCTATGCTTAGTACTATAAAATCATAAAGAAAACCATAGTCAATCGACTCAAAACGCACATGACGCATTGGATCTCATAAAACCATACCAGTTTCGTCCTAGAAGATCGATCAGAGAACATCATCATCACACAAGAAGTTATGCACTCCATGAGATCAAAAAAAGGAAAAGGGATTTATGGCTATCAAGATATATTTAGAGAAGGTATCAACATCATCGTCCCTAGAATGATCATTCATAGACGATACCCTACAAGACATCAGACTTCCGACAAACTTACGACAACTAATCATGCGTTGTGTTTCGATGGTATCAACGCAAATCTTGTGGAGTGGAACAACATCCGAAACGTTCAAACCTACTAGGGATATTGGCAAGGGGCTCCATTATCCCCGTATCTATTTGTTCTATTCATATAGATGCTCTCTAAAGCCGTTCGAATCAGTACTAAGACGCAAGGTTGGAAACCAATTCGCTTATCACGTAATGGACCGGAAATCTCACATTTACTATTTACCGATGACATGATACTCTTTTCTAAAGCAACAATAATCATGTAACCATTATCAAGGATATTCTAGACAAGTTCTGTAAAGTCTGTGGATAGAAAGTGAGTACTGCAAAAACAATCTTCTTGTACTCAAAGAGCGTTGATGATCAATGCAGGAAAGCAATAAATGGAGTATGTGGATTCACCGAAGTTCGAGATCTAGGACGTTATCTTGGAGTACCCTTACTCCATAGTCGAGTCACAAAAGCTACATATCAGCACATCATACAACGAGTAAGCGATAGATTAACAGGATGAGCAGCCAAAAACCTATCACTAGCAGGTCGAATTACATTGGCCAAAAGCGGCATTAGCATCGATACCATTCTACTCAATGCAATCAACCATGCTACCAAAAGGAACATGTATAGAAATCGAGAAGATAATCCGAACCTTCGTGTGAGGCAAGTCGGATGCAAATCGTGGAATAAGCTTTGTTAAATGGGATACTCTTCGTACCCCAATCGCAGGTGTGGCCTCGGATTCAGAACACTAGAAAAGCAAAACGACGCGTTTTTAATGAAACTCGCCTTCAACTTAGTGACCAAGTCAGACCAATTGTGGACACAAATATTAAAATCGAACATTGTCCCAAAAGAAATTGCCAGACCACACGACTTTGGAAAGGCACTAGTATGAAGAAAACTGAGGATTAGAGACCTGATGAACCATTAGGTTAGCTATAGCTCTTTGTTTAAGCGGGAAAAAAATGATTGAAAAAATTAGGGACTTCAATTATAAAGGTAAAAAGTGAGATTAAAAAAATTAGGGACCTCAATTTTAAAGGTAAAGAGTGAAATTGAAAAAATAGGGGTCTAAATTATATAAGTAAAAAATGGGATTGAAAAAAGTAAGAGCCTTAATTATAAAGATTAAAAGTGAGATTAAAAAATTAGGGATCTTAATTATAAAGGTAGAATGTGAGATTAAAAAAATTAGGATCATCAATTAAAATGTAAAAAAAGTGAGATTGAAAAAAATTAAAATACTCAATTATAAAGATAAACAATAAAATAAATAGAAAACTAAAATACTCAATTATAAAAATAATAAAAATATAATAAAAATATTAGAGACCTAGTAAAAGATGAGAGCCTTAAACGGTTGCTCAGGATACACCTCTAATAGTCTGCCCTGAAGCACACTCAAATTATGCGCATTATTCTCATGCAATAAAAAGAAAGAAAGAGGAGAGGACATTGATTATGATTTGAGGTTTAGGATTTAAAAGTTTAATATTAAGAATTGAGAGTAGTATTTTATTTTAAATACTAATAAAGTCACATTATCGCTCTGTTATTGAGAAAATGGACGAGTGATAAAAAAAATAACGTGAAAAATTTAGTAATTAAATTGAAAATTTTTAAATTCGATTGACCAAATTAGGAGTAAAAATAAAGTTAAGTGATAAATTAAGTAATCTATCCTTATTAATAGAGTAATTTTAAAATAGCAATTGGGCGGTTCAACCAAACTAGTAGTACTTAGATATGGACTTTGAGCCTATGGACTACAGTTGTACATTGAAACGGCGGCTGACGGCATCGTGTTTGGTCTGAACAAAGTTGGTTAAGACTGTCACTCAAACTAATGGAACTCTTTTCACTGTCCAAACATCCCAGATTTAAAGTGAAACAAATCTCACTTGACTAGAATTTGATTTCCCTATCTTCTCTGCAGGAAAGGATTTATTTCAGAAGATCTGGGTTTTTTTTTGTAAATGGGGATTTCAGAGGGGGAAGTGGTTGCTGTAATCATGGTTGGTGGACCCACCAAAGGTAACCGCTTTAGCCTTTGTCTTCTTCACTTTCAGGCGATTTTCTCTTTGGATTTTGATTTTGATGATGGTTGTTTTCTTTCTCTTCCAGGGACTAGATTTAGGTCTTTATCATTCAATATTCCAAAACCTTTGTTACCTTTAGCAGGTCAGCCTATGGTTCATCACCCAATATCTGCTTGTAAACGGGTACATTTTTCACTATTTTCTGTACAAATTTCAAGGCAAATTGTCGCAGTATTGTATCTTATTTATTATTTTGGTCTTATGTTCCATGATTCAATGAGTTTGTTCTATGATTATTCCAGTAACATAATGTTTTCATTTTGTTGTAATCCCAATCATAATGTTTATATTAATTGATTTTCCATGCCTTTGTTTTTTGTTTGTTCCATAGATACCGAACCTGGCTCAAATTTTTCTAATTGGATTTTATGAGGAGAGAGAGTTTACATTATACGTCTCTTCGATCTCTAATGAATTGAAAATACCAGTGAGGTGATTAGTGCACTGATTTATTATATTTTTCTCATTTTAAGCTTTTAACCTCTCACTCATATTTTCGTTTGCTTCGGTTTTCAAATTGATCGAGTTAGATACTTGAAAGAGGATAAACCCCATGGTTCAGCTGGTGCTCTCTACTACTTCTTGTATTTCTTCATGCTCATTTTTGCTTTAGTTTTGTTTTATTATTTTCTCTTCCCTTCAAAGTTCCGAGTCTCGGTCCTCTATAACTTCTCAAACAATGCTAAATAGATGTGCAGATGCTTTGAATTACTTCTCATATTGTGTTCCTTTTGTGCAGTCACGCATCTTCCTACTAAATTGTGATGTTTGTTGCAGTTTTCCATTGACGGACATGCTTGGTTACTTTCCCGTTCCTTATAATTATATTCTTCCAAGCTTGCTTCCCTGAACATTAATTAGATGCTCGTTTCTGCAGAGGCTCACAAAAGATACGGCGGGATGGGAACACTGTTAGTAATCAAGGAAAGTTTCTTTTTCAATTTTCTAATCTGTAAATTGATTTTATAATTTACCTTAATTGCAAAAACTTTATTCTTTGATGTGGTCGTCTTTTGACGTTTTCTTCTTTTTTCACATGCAGGTTTCTGCTGAAACAGCTAACCAGTTTGGCAAGTTGGTTGCTGACCGATCACGAAAGAGCTACTGCACTACACTGAGAAACCCGAGACTTTTGTACGTACATGGAGCAAATGTAACCTTTCACTTAGTGTATGAAGAATTTATGGTTTGTTAATAATCCTAAGCTGACCTTTTCTCTTTGCTGTTTACATTTGATGGATTGCAGGTAGGCGATTTAATTAACTGCGGAGTTTACATCTTTACTCCCGATATCTTCACCGCTATTCAGGAAGTCTCCACACATCGAGGAGACCAAGGTTGTACTTGTATTATAATTACAGTTTACGATGCCTTAACAAACATCGTTGAATATTGCGTTTTTTTTTGGGGGGGGGACTACCTTCTGCATGTTGCAGTCTTCATGCTTTTACAACATGGTTGCTTCTAATATACAAGGAAGACTTTTCTATCATTACTGACAAATGACTTTCTTTTTGGTTGTATTGCAGCTAATTTTTTCCATTTGTCGAGCTTTGAAACGCTGCAGTCTCCGACAAGGTTGCCTTTGTCTCTTTCACTAGTCTTACTGTGTTTAAACAATATCTTTTACTGATTTACTTTCAAATATTTCGGACAATAGATGACAGACATGTTTGTTTATAATTCGGCTTTTGTATACATCTTGATTTTATTCATAACTTTACAATTGATTTTTTTCTCTATGAGAAAACATACTTTTGCACATATTCCTCAGGTGTACAATCATCTCAAACATTATCTCTCAAATATCTATCGCTTCGGTTTCGTTTTCCCTAAAAAGGTCGAGATCAGAGTTTTAGTCTTTGATACTTTTTGATGGCCTCTGCTCATAAGAAAATGTTTGGTATCTTTTTCATTTTGCGAGCATTTATTTGTCGTGAAATGCTGCAATTCCAATCTTAATGCCTATATCTATTTCCTCTAGGGCTTTTCCCCTCGACTTTGTTAGATTGGATCAAGATATTTTGTCCCCATTTGCTGGAAAGCAGCAGTTATATACGTATGAAACTATGGATTTCTGGGAACAAATCAAGACTCCAGGGTAAAATATTTTGGATTGATGTTGCTTTTCTGTTTTCTTTGATGAGTTTTCATTGATTCTTCTCCATTTTCAAATCTGTCATTATCCATACAGGATGTCTTTAAAATGTTCTGGTCTTTATCTTGCTCAATTGCGGTTACCTCACCCGGTCTATT